TAGTGAACTCTTGCCATTCGTTGCTTTTTGTGGATATTGAGATCAGCTTCTTGCAGTTGCTGCAACTGGCGCTTAGCGCGTTTGCGCGCTTGGTCGGGTAAGCCACAGATCGAGGGCTCCGAACGAACAAGAACTATTTTCAGGTCCCTGAAGACGACTAGTTAGTCGAAACGTCGACCAAATAAACGGTTCCATTAAAACAAACCTGTACAGCAAAGCACTGTGAAATCTTAAGTTATGAGTGGTATTGTCCCCGCCTTCACGGGGTGCTTGTGGAAACTGCTCGCTCAGGCGGGCTGAGCTGAACGCGGGCATCAGCATCATTGATTTCGGCATCAATGATGAAAACGGTCACTTATGACGGACCGTAAGGTAGCAGTGTGACGATGACAATACTACTCTGAGAATATTTCAGCAGTAGAACTTGTCCTTCTGTCTCTACTAATTGGTTTACCAGTGCATGGTCCTGTGCAGAAGATAACAATGAATAAAACGGAAATGTCCTGCAGAAGATTACGTCTTGCAGAGCAACTGGTTCTGACGACTTAAGGCAGTCGACACGTAGAAGTCACTGTTCAGAAATCTTACTGCATGGTTGACGAAATTCCTTCACCAGGTCGTCGCAGACAAGATGCGTGAGAGCAGCCCCCACAGTATTACTATTCCGATCTGGAAGGAGAAGGGAACCCGCAAAGTATTGTCATTCCGATCTGGAAGAAGAAAAGTAGCCCTACCGCCCGGTTTACCTACTTTGAAGATTTTCAAACAAATTGTGGACGACCGGTTTCGAGGGATTATCCAGCTTCTCACCAAACAGTGTGGCTGCGTCATCACTTGCAGTACCCCGATGCAATACATGCCTCTCGTCTCCTGCTAGGAAAGATCGCATGTGACGGAAAGCGCTGCATCTCGCTTTTTCTAGACTAGAAAAGGCCGCGTGAACTTTTATGATATCCACAAAGAAGTTGAATAAAAAAATGAAGATGAAGATGGTGGTAATGATGGTGATGGTGATGATAAAGGTAAAGATGAAGAGAAGATGATGATGAAGATGGAGAAGAAGATCGAGAAGAATAAGATGAAGAAAATGATGAAGTTGAAGAATAAGGAAGTGATGGTCATGATGATGATGATAATCATGATGGAGATGAAGAAGAAAGTGAAGGTGAAGATGAACAAGAAGAAGATGGTGATGTTGAAGATGATGAAAAAGAAAATGAAAGAAAAAGAAAGAGACTAGTAGTGATTCTATCCAACTGATAATGTTTGAAGATCTTGTGAGCTACTTCTTGAGAAATACAGACTGTTAGTCTATCAGTTCACCTCTACTAATTAGTATTTTGACGATTCCTTGTCTCTTCGACAATTAAAACCATATTGTGGCCACCTGACGCGCCTTCTCAACAGAAAGTAATTGCCCTAATTCGAATTTATACTCATTTTTAGAGCATTCTGCAATAAGATCTTACTCAATGTTTACCGTTTTGTTTTTTATTTTCCTCAACGAAAGTTGTGCGTAATTGCAGGCCTTCTCTTCACAGTCGCAGGATTCGTACAGATGACGATTTGGGCAAAAAATAAGCACCGCTCGTACATGAAGGAGTTTTCCGACTATCCAAAGGACAGAAAAGCAATTGTACCGTTCCTTATTTGATAGCTGAGCATGTGTGGTTGCTCTGATGAATGCTCGTCTATCTACGATCGCATTTGATCATGGGAATATATAAGCTTGATCGTTTATGTGAGCAGTTACTTTATTTGGATCTATTCTCTACCGGTGTCCGCACCTATGCGTTTTTAATACCGTACGCGTCTAATGTATGACTGGTTTGGTTTTTGACGAGTTGTACATGATTAAATCTACGAAAGCAGAGTAATTCGCTATTCGGAGCCTGTGTTCGAAACCCACATGAATTCGGGAACGAAACATGTTCAGTAGTGCACATAGCAGATTCAAGTCGGCCATTTTTGTGGTGCTGTAATGTGATGTAATGTAGGACTAGCTTGTAAATCCGACAGCACACTTCTTATTAGTAAGATATCGATTTAGCTATCACATTGTTAGAGTTCTAGAAGTTTTCAAGAAGAGTACTAATTGGAAACTTTGCTGACGGTGCAAAGGTGCTTCGTTGCTCAGCAAATTAGGCTTTTCTGAAAACTTTCAGCTTTTGTCAGTTAGTATCACGTCCATATAGCCATCCACCACCTGATTCCGTAACATCCGACACGACGTAATGGTGACAATGCTTTACTGCGAATGGTAAGAGCGTAGCAGACCGATCGAGTTTGGTTTCTAGCGTTCATAGAGTTCTTTATACCAGCTTCTTTTCCGTGCTCAGAGTGTCTGGAATTCTATTACGTTTCACACAACAATAAGGTGTTAAGGCCACAGTGTCAGTGCAAAGGACTTAAGGAAGCCGAGAGAAGTTTTTGATGACACTTCACCATCTTTTACAGTAGCTGCCGCTAACTGTATTCCTCACAAATTTGAATGCTCTAGATCGAGTGAACCTGCTAGTGAATTTCCGAGCAATCGAGCAGCAGTGGTGTTATTTCGCATTTGTAGACTGCAACATAAGGTTGGATTCATGTAATGTTACTTATGTCACTTAAAGGCAGTGTTAACAAAAAAATTGTTTCGGACATTCGCACATAGTTTGAATTCGACGCCCCCTCTGATACCATTTGTGCAGGAGTGAGGTCGGAAAACGGCTGGATAGGGCACAATCAGGGGCCGGACAGATATCCACGGTCGCGCTCCGCCCCTTGATCGGTGTCACGTTAGACGAGTGTCGAGACGGCACAATGTCATGTAATCGCGTCAGGACTCACCTTGAATTGCATATTGGCAAATTGCCAGAGACGCAATGTGTTGCCTGCTATTGCATTGCGTCTCTGGCAAATTGCCAATTTGCCGTCACTGGCAACTTGCCAATTTGCCTGAACCCTCTCTAACCGACGTTTTCTCAATGTGAAACTCGTCCAACAACCCTTTCCACCTCTTTTTTTGATCCTTCGTAATTCTTTCTGTTCATCGTTTTTCGCGNTTACTCTAGAGTAGCTCTGTCAATTCCCGTCAAAAAAAAGGTACCCTAACTTTTTTGTTAACACTGCCTTTAATGGGCAAACACGACGTACATCCATCTAGGCAGAAGGCAGTTTTATTTTTATTTTTTATTTCATATGCACTCGGGGCGCACCCTAATACACACACAACAGAAGACTGGGCATGACTGGAGGGTAACCAAACAAAGAAAAACCGAACAACCTAGCAAATACTGACGATTTGTAACATAAAGTAGGCAAAAAATAACTATGGCCAAACAGAACTGGAAAGCAACATAAGGGCAAAAGCAACATGCAAACATAAGAGAAAGCACACATATAAATATTGAGACAGGCTAAATGATATCCTGTTATAGGGGAGGGCATTATGACGAGGTAGAAGGAAGCTATCGGTGGGGCAACACTTTAGAGCGAATAACATAACTAAAGCATCCGAATGGACATTACTGGACAGAACACCACACACAATATGTAAGGGAAGTTATTCTTGTCTCTATAAAGACTGGCAACACAAGGGTTAGCATGAGCAATGCAACTAACCGTGGCTATTTCGAGGCGGGCATGGTACATGCCTCTTTAATCTAATCATGAACCTCGGGCGTAAAACTCGAAGTACGTACCAATAAAAAGCACGCACTTGTTAACCCTCGCTTGTCTTGAAACATTAGACGACAGCCAGAACAGTGGGTAGCAGAGGACTGTAGCTTCATTTTACTGCTATTATAATTCATATCCTGCAATGGCCAAGGATGGCAGGATGAAACTAGAGACAAATGGCGGCCTTATGCTAGAGCTTGCCTAGAGCTTACGCAAGAAGTGAGACTGAATGATCAGGAAAATACACTAAAACAAAGAGATCAGCAAGATCGATAGAGAGAAAGTCTCAACAATCGAAAAAGTAAAAGCCTCGAACGACTAGAAGTCTTGCACACCAATCAAACGCATGTACTCTATTTCAAGTAGCGCTTTTTTGAACTGGGATGTCTTTCTTCTCTGGATGAGCTCTACAGGAAGTTTTTTGAGCCAAATGGACGTCCTGTAGTAGAACGAATTCCTGGCAATACTATTACGAAATCGAAAACTGTGACTGGCTCTGTAGGTACAGATATTATAAGATGCCTTCTCATGGACGACGGCTTAAAGGACCATAAGTTTGAAGGACGCAAGCAGAACTCACCCTTCAAGATTTTAAAAGCAAGAACTATGTCAGAAAATGTCCGCCTGAGGAGAAGACTTTTCATTCCAAGTTCTTTGAAACGGATGCTGTAAGGTGGCAGAGATCTTGGGTATCCGGGCTCAGGGAAGGTGCGATAGTACAAAAACCTGATGAAAATCATTTGAACTTTTTCTAGCTTACAAATGAGTTTTCTCGAGCTAAGGCTCCGAACTTGACAGCAATATTCAAGAATAGGGACCACATTGGCCTTGTACAGCTTGATGAGGATCGCTAGGTCGGAAATCTTAACGATTCTGAACAAGCAGTAGAAGCGTCTGAGTGTCCTAGCCACCACAGCATCAATATGCGATTCCCAGCTCAAGGACTTCGGAACAATAACACCCAGACCGCGACATTGGTTTAGAGCAGTTGATGATGACATATCATTAAGCGAGAGCTCTACCGATCTGTTGCTTGGTGAAAGTAAGCAAGTTTTGTCAACATTGAGCCTGAGGCCCCAATCGCTCGTCCATTGTCATACGGTCAAAAACATTGTCCAGTAAGGACTTAGCTTCGGGGAAAAATTACTGCAGTCAGTACACGTAAACGCTTAAACATCATCAGCGAAGGCATATACGTCTACTTCCCGACTGACACTTAAAGCGGTAGGGAGATCCATTGTATATATATATATATATATATATATATATATATATATATATATAATAAACAGCATAGGGGAAAAACACCCCTTTGAAGAACCCCTGAATTGCAGTGTCACTTATGAGAAGCAATGTCTTTGTAATTAACCACGAAAGTAAGATCTCGAAGATACGACCTCATCCAGTTCAAAAGGGCACCTCTAATACCAACGCTTTCAAGTCTTTGAAGGAGTTTCTCGTGAACAACTGAATCGAAAGCTGTACTCAAATCAAAGTAAAAGATATCAACATCTTTCGACAGAGAGAGCAACAGCCCACTTATGGGTGCATTTTAAAAGTTGCAAACATGTAGAGGAAACTTTAACGAAACCAAATTGCTGAGGAGGCATAGAGAGATTAAATTTTTCAAACCATTCGTGGAAACATGACTTCAACATTTTCTCCGTTTCTTTGCATGGCGTAGGGGTTAAGCTTATTGGCCTGAACTCTTTCGGCGACGAGGCAGTTGCTTTCTTAGGGATAGGCCTTACGATGGCCTCCCTCCAATAGCGAGGAATTTCACCGCTAAGTAGCGAAATATTCATAATATGACAAATAGGAGCAGCAAGTTTTCTGGCAAACATCTTATAAAAAATTGCAGGCACCCCGTCAGAAGGAATGGATGATGAATTCTTGACATTATATTATTAGGTATTCGAAAACCTCAGAAGGGGTTATGACTGGCAACGGGCATTCAGTGTCGATTAATACAGAGAGGCTTCCAGTGTTGCGTCAGATGCAACAAACACACTAGCAAAGTAATCTCCCAGCACGTTAGCTTTGTCTGATGCAGATATCAATGCATTACCCAATGAATCATACACGCAAGGAACACAATACTTTTTACCCAATCTTTTGCTAACATAGCAAAAAAGACCTTTCATATTTTTACAGCTCGCGAGCTTTCTCTCTTTGTAAGCAATGGACCGCTTAAGATGGAATGTAAAATCACTGTTGATTTTTTTGACCTCAGAAGACGTCACCGGATTATCAAGTGGTCGAAATAACCTTTCTCTTTGATCATATAGATTTCTCATGTGCTTGGGGTATGTTTAACACAAGGAGAGATGCCTTCTGATAGGAGCATAACGATCAATAATCATACGCACAATGGACAAGAATCTATCGTAAGCATCATATGTCGATTTAGCCATCACATTGTTAGAGTTCTCGAAGTTTTCAAGAAGAATGCTAATCGGAAATTTGGCTTACGGTGCGAAGGTGCTTCGTTGCTCAGTAAATTAGGCTTTTTTGAAAACTTTCAGCTTTTGACAGTTAGTATCACGTCCATAAAGCCATCCACCACCTGATTCTGTAACATCCGACACGACGTAATGGTGACGAGGCTTTACTGCGAATGGTAAGAGCGTAGCAGACCGGTCGAGTTTGGTTTCTAGCGTTCATGGAGTTGTTTAAATCAGCTTCTTTTCCGTGCTCAGAGTGTCTGGAATTCCATTACGTTTCACACAACAATAAGGTGTTAAGGCCACAGTGTCAGTGCAAAGGGCTTAAGGAAGCCGAGAGAAGTTTTTAATGACACTTCACCATCTTTTGCAGTAGCTCCCGCTACCTGTCAATTGTATTCTTCACAAATTTTTAATGCTTTAGATCGAGTGAACCTGCTAGTGAATTTCCAAGC